CTAGTAAAACGACTTGGTGTGCTGTGTGGCATTGCAATATTTCTGACTTTTGACTGTGACATAATAAACTATTTTTTTTTACCCAAATAAAATATGCCTCATCTCTTCCAATAACATAGTGACCAAGTACAAATGCTTGCTAAATGGGCAGTGAGTCTCTACAATAGGGCTTCCGTGTTTGAAACATAAGACTCTAATACATTTTTTCATGGAAAAAATTAAACATCTTTACCTCTTACATTTCTGCCTTTGGCCCCAATCAAATTGATTGCATGCTTTCCAGCTACTGTGTGAAAATATTTGCTTTTATCTCTGAAACATGGCGTTGAGATTTTTTTGTGACTCTCTACAATGTTAGTTTGTGGTTTGGAGGTGTTTTTTATTTACTCTGGGAGCTGAGATTTTTGCTCAAATTTATACACAATCTAGTTTGTTACTTAATAGAAAATCACAACAAGGTATGCTTTGTGACTTGTATTCTTTTTGGCAATTTACATGAAGTTGCATGATTCTGATAGCTTTAGATTTCTTTTAAGTATGTACCTTAATATACTGTATACATTGTATTGCCTACAAATTTCCTTTTGTTCAGAAACCAGTTATATTGAGTTGCTGCTGCTGCTTCTGTATGTAAGCCAAGCAGTTATGTAGAGTTCAATTAAATGCTTAGACATAAAATGTATGAAGACAGAATATGGTGTCCCTGATGTTTTCCCCAAGAGTCATTATGTTCTGTAATTCCACGTACAGCTTTAGGGCACTCCGCAAACATGAAATTTAAAGGAATTGCATAATTTGTGTTATCTGGCCATTTAAGCCACTCTATAATAGCCACTCCCATTTGAACTGTAATTTTGTTTACAATGTTTTTCTTGGTGTATGTCACCCAGGACAGTTCCTGATCCCCTTGCCTTTTCCTTGTAAATTCCTGTTAGCTTAGTAAAGGGCCATTACTAAAAAAGAATGTTTGCTCCCATTGATTTTAATGAGTTTCAGATTTTGGGTTGATAACATTCACCAAACCTAGGTACTTTCAGCTGTGTAAGCATTTGTTTAACATATAGCAACCTAGACTGCATCAGGCCTGGACAGACACTCTCAGAAGGGAGTGCCCCATTGACTATTCATTGCCCAGGCTGGACCACTGTGCTGAGCTTGCACAGTATGTGCTTGAATATTTTGGAAATAACTGGGCATATGTGATTGGGAGGTGGTTCAGGGATTTGTGGTTTTGTGCACTCTGTTTGAAACTGTATTAAACTTTGCTATTAAACTGTTGTACCACTGGCCAATTTGCCACTGTTCAGAATTAAAAAAGAAAATGCTTTGTTAAAATGAAACTAAAGGCAAAACTGGATAGAGTAAGGGAGGGTTATAACCCCTGTCAACTTATTTTTTTTACCACCTGATTTACCTTCACTACCTGTCCTATAACCAAAGCAGGTAGTGAGAGGTAATCCATACAAATTAAGGGAATTCCTTGGGGACCCCCAGGTCACCAGAACTAGTGTCCCCATTGGAAAATTTATCCTCTATTACTTTTCTGGAGACAACCCAAATTTTGGGGTTTCTTTTCACTTTTGATGATAATAGTAAACAGGACAAAGAAAGGGAATAATTCTCCCTAATGGGGGCGCAGACTGCAATAAAGACCTGACAGGTGTTCTAATCCATCTCCACTCTATTCAAAACTAAAAAAAGTTTTGCCTTTTAGTTTAAATTTCCCTCATGGCAGTGCCAAGTTTCCTGTGCCCTTTATTTATTTACGATAGCTTTTTTTTCTAATTGGACCACTGAAGTTTGAATTTCTGGTGTGAAGAATTATGGAAAGCTGTTCTTCTTTCCATCTCACATTGGAGGTTAAAGTCGGATATGAGATCTGAAAGAGAGGGAGTTTTAGTGGATTTCCACAGTTTAATGATATTAATTTTAGTCGCTGCCAATATGTGGATAATGATAGTGCGTGCGTCTGTAGGGAATTTGTCTATTCCTATATGTAGGAGAGCCAGAGAGGGGTTTGGGGTCATCAGGACTCCTGTGACTGAGGAGATCAGTTGAAAGACTTTGTTCCAATCGGATTTGGGGGATTTACATGTTCAAAGTAAATGCATAGTTGATCCTGTTTCTCCACACTGTCTTCAGCAGGTAGCTGAGTGTTGAGGGTAATATAGTGCAAGTTTAACAGGCGTTAGATACCACTGGTGTAAGACTTTTAGGTATGTTTCCCAGCGGGAGCTACATTTAGAGGCTTTATAGGTGATGTTGAAGGTTCTTTCCCAGGTGTGTGGGTGTATTGAGTGAAGGAGAATTTTTTCCCAGTTGGTTAGAGAGGTAGTGTGAAGTGTAAACTGTGTTTTGGTAATGAGCGTGTAAAAGGTCGAGATCCCTTTCTTTGGATATTGTGTCTTATGGAAAAATTGGTATGCAGTAGCAGGGATTGTGAGTTCGATTGGTATATTTATTTTGTGCAGAGAGTGCGCTATTCGCATATAGGTAAAGTTTTCCTTGTCAGTAAGGTGGAATTTCTTCTGGAGGGTGGCAAATGAGTCTAAATTATGGTTTGTATATATGTCTTGAATATGTGATATGCCTTGATTTTACCATTGAGTCAGATTTAGATTGGGAGTGATGAAGTGTAGGGTGGAAATTGGTGTAGGGATTCGTTTAGTATCTAAATCTGACTTGTTGGAAATTAAGAGGTCATACCAGGCGTGTAATGAGGCTTGTATACAAGGATGTTTAGAAAAAGGTAGGGTTTGAGACGTTTGGGGTAGAAACAACATTTTATCTAGTGTGTGCGGAATTTGAGGAGGGTTTTCCATGGTGGTCCATGTTTTTTGATTAGTAGGGTGCCACCAGAAAAAAGGAAGGGTGGCCTTGTAGTATGATTTTATGTGCGGAAGGCCTGTTCCTCCTTTAGAGGTTGGGCGTATTAGGAGGTTTGTAGAGGTTTGTTTGAGTTCCAGATAAATTTGGCTATTATTGCTTGGATTTTGGAAAAAAAAGGGTGCTGGGGACGGGAATGGGGAGTGTGCGTAATATATATAGTATTTTGGGTAATATGCACATTTTTAGGGTTGCTACTCTTCCCATTGTCGACAAAGTTGATGTACGTAGATTTTTAAGTTCTTGTGGGATGGTTTCAAGTAGGGGTTTGTAATTGGCAGCATACAATTTGGTAGTTGTGGTAGTGAGTTTGATCCCAAGATAAGGGATGCTGTGGTGTTCCCAGGAGAAAGGGAAATGTTTAGTCAGCAAATTCTGGGTCTTAGTGGGTGTATAGAGATTTAAGATAGAGGATTTGGGCTCATTAAGTTTGTAGTAAGAGACATCAGCATAGTTCTTGAGATGTGTACGTATCGATTGGAGTGATTTATAGGGGTTGGTGATCAATAGGATGATGTCGTCTGCGAAAAGGCTGATTTTGTGTTCTTTTTTAAGGTGGGTAATTCCCATGAATGTTGGGTCATCTCTGAGTTTAGATGCTAACGGCTCGATGAGTAGGGTGCAAATTATGGGGGAAAGAGGGCAGCCCTGTCTCATGCCCTTAGATATGAGGAAAGGTTGTGTGAAGGGGTGCCGTTAGTTAAAACTTTGGCAGACGGGTTGGAGTAGAGGGATAGGATTGCTGAAAGCATCCAGCCTGTAATTCCAAATTTCTGGAGTGTAAGTTTCATGAATTGCCAATGAATTCGATCAAATGCTTTTTTAGCATCTAGAGACAAGAGTAATGAGCAGAGATGAGCGAAGTATTCAAAAATTCGATTCGACTGATTCGGCGAATTCGTAGAAAAAATTTCGATTCGAGTCGAATATATTCGCTGTGAATTTAAATTAAAAAAGGGTGTTGGCTTCAGAGAGACTTAATATTAGTGCTGAGACACTGTACCTTTAATTTAAATGCCCTTGGAGTCTGCTGGGGAAGAGAAATAATACTGTCAGGCAGTATGACATGCAGATGAGTGCCGTCGATCTTAGAATCACCGCACACTTCACTCATTTGGCAGTCACGGGGCCAAAACCAGAGTGTGGAGCCACAGTGTGGCGGTGGAGGCAGCAGCAATGGGAGGCCATACAGCACCTATGACAAAAATGGAAACCACCAGCAGTGTGAGGAGACCTGAAAGTGGCACATGGCAGAGTGTGGCGATAGAGACAGCAGCAATGGGAGGCCGTACAGGGACCCATGACACACTCTGGACCTGGCAGCAGCATGAGGAGGCGGTACAGGGGCCCATGGCAGATTACGGGCCTGGCAGCAGCATGAGGAGTCGGTACGGGGGGCCCATGGCAGATTACAGGCCTGGCAGCAGCAATGGGAGGCCGTACAGGGACCCATGACACAATCTGGACGTGGCAGCAGCATGGGAGGCGGTGGTACAGGGGCCCATGACAGATTACGGGCCTGGCAGCAGCATTTGGAGTCGGTACGGGGGCCCATGACACACTCTGGACCTGGCAGCAGCTATGAGGAGGCGGCGGTTACAGGGGCGCATGACAGATTACGAGCCTGGCAGCAGCAGCAACTTGGACAGGAGGACGTTCAGTTTCAGCACCGTCTGGTGCGTGCTCGCAAACTGTTGTCTCTTGGAAACGGATTCCAAGAAAGACTGCTGACGGAATCCGTGAAGAGGAGTAGCAGGAGAAGGAGGAGCATTATGCCAACAAGCGACACAGGGGCCCATGGAATATGCCAACAGCAGCATGAGGAGTCGGTAACAGGGGCCCATGGCAGATTAGGGGCCTGGCAGCAGCTATGGGAGAGGCCCGTAATCTGCCAGCACCCTATGACAAAAAATGGAACCCACCAGCAGTGTGAGGAGACCTGAAAGTGGCACATGGCAGAGTGTGGCGATGGAGACAGCAGCAATGGGAGGCCGTACAGGGACCCATGACAGACTCTGGACCTGGCAGCAGCATGAGGAGGCGGTATAGGGGCCCATGGCAGATTAGGGGCCTGGCAGCAGCTATGGGAGGCCCGTAATCTGCCAGCACCCTATGTCAAAAAAATCTACACACCAGCAGTGTGTGGAGACCTGAAAGTGGCACATGGCAGAGTGTGGCGATGGAGACAGCAGCAATGGGAGGCCGTACAGGGACCCATGAGAGACTCTGGACTTGGCAGCAGCATGAGGAGGCGGTATAGGGGCCCATGGCAGATTAGGGGCCTGGCAGCAGCTATGGGAGGCCCGTAATCTGCCAGCACCCTATGACAAAAAATGGAACACACCAGCAGTGTGAGGAGACCTGAAAGTGGCACATGTTTGGGGCATGATTCATGGCGGATTTAGTCAGTTGTGTCAGGAACTGGTGGTTTGAAATCCAGACTAATCCACGCCTGATTCATTTTCACAAACGTCAGTCTCTCCACACTTTGGGTGGACAGTCGTGTCCTCCGCGGAGTTGCAATACCTCCTGCCGCACTAAACACGCGCTCCGATGCCACGCTACTGGCCGGGCATGACAGCCTTTCAAGGGCAAATTCAGCTAGTTGGGGCCAAAGGTCAAGTTTCGTTGCCCAGTAGTCAAGGGGATTGTCTACCTCGGTTGGCAGGGTGCTGTCCAAGTAGGCCTAAGCCTGTTGTTTGAGGTCCTGCTCCAGGTCCACCTGATGCTGCTGCTGCTGCTGCTGCTGCTGCTGGCTGGTTAGTAGTTTCCTCACTGCGCTGGGTGAAGAAAGCTACTCATCATCGACTGCAGAGACTGAGGCAGCCGCTGCTGGTGGAGCTGCCACTGCTCCTACCACCCCACCCCTCCCCTGCTGCCATGGCAGCGGAACGCGAGCGCACAGGGCCCACAGTGTCTGAGGATGGACGTTGGCGCAGACAGGCAGAGACCAGCTGACTACATAGGTGGTTTTTATAGTACGTTATTTTGGCCTCCCTCTCAGCAGGTGTGAAAAAGGGCCACCATTTTTTTGAACGGTAGCGAGGGTCCAACAAGGTGGACAGCCAAAAGTCATCCCTCTGTCTGATGGTTATTATTCGGCTGTCGCTACGCAAGCAAGCAACCGAGCATGCTATGGGCCATTTGTGCCAAGGAATGCGAGGGACTCCCTGCCTCCATCTCCACAGCATACTGCCACGGTGCGTCTGGGTCCTCTGTCTCCTCCTCCTCCTCCTCCTCTACCAGATGCTCCTGCTCCTCCACTCCTGTCCGCTGAGTGGAAAAAACCACCCATTTCACTCAATAATTCCTGAGCACCAATGTCCTCCTCTACCTCCTCCTCTTCTTCCTGTCCTGCCCCCACACAGGGTCATGTGGCGTTGAGATCTGTGCGCCACGTCTACCGCACCCTGACCAGCCATTGTTAACAGCATTTTGTTCCAGGACGTGCAACAGAGGAATGACGTCGTTCATCCCATAGTCCTGCCGACTCACGAATAGCGTGGCCTCCTCAAAGGGCCTGAGCAAGCGCAGGTGTCACGCATGAGCTGCCAATGGCTGACATTCTAAGTTACACAGGGAGTACCTTTATTATCCGCTTTTTAACATCAGGAAATCTGTGATGGCCTTTTGCTGTTCGTTAAAGGCGGTCTAACATATGTAGGGTTGAATTCCACCTTGTTGCAACGTCACAGCATGAGGAGTCGGTATAGGGGGCCCATGGCAGATTAGGGGCCTGGCAGCAGCAATGGGAGGGCCCGTAATCTGCCAGCACCCTATGTCAAAAAATTCTACACACCAGCAGTGTGTGAGGAGGAGACCTGAAAGTGGCACATGGCAGAGTGTGGCGATGGAGACAGCAGCAATGGGAGGCCGTACAGGGGACCCATGACAGACTCTGGACCTGGCAGCAGCATGAGGGGCGGTATATAGGGGCCTATGGCAGATTAGGGGCCCTGGCAGCAGCAGCTATGGGAGGCCCGTAATCTGCCAGCACCCTATGTCAAAAAATTCTACACACCAGCAGTGTGAGGAGACCTGAAAGTGGCACATGGCAGAGTGTGGCGATGGAGACAGCAGCAATGGGAGGCCGTACAGGGACCCATGGACAGAGAGACTCTGGACCTGGGCAGCAGCATGAGGAGGCGGGCGGTATATAGGGGCCTATGGCAGATTAGGGGCCTGGCAGCAGCTATGGGAGGCCCGTAATCTGCCAGCACCCTATGTCAAAAAATTCTACACACCAGCAGTGTGTGAGGAGACCTGAAAGTGGCACATGGCAGAGTGTGGCGATGGAGACAGCAGCAATGGGAGGCCGTACAGGGACCCATGAGAGACTCTGGACCTGGCAGCAGCAGCATGAGGAGGCGGTATATAGGGGCCCATGGCAGATTAGGGGCCTGGCAGCAGCTATGGGGCCCCCGTAATCTGCCAGCACCCTATGTCAAAAAAAAATTCAAACACACCAGCAGTGTGTGAGGAGACCTGAAAGTGGCACATGGCAGAGTGTGGCGATGGAGACAGCAGCAATGGGAGGCCGTACAGGGACCCATGACAGACTCTGGACCTGGCAGCAGCATGAGGAGGCGGTATATAGGGGGCCCATGGCAGATTAGGGGCCTGGCAGCAGCTATGGGAGGCCCGTAATCTGCCAGCACCCCCTATGTCAAAAAATTCTACACACCAGCAGTGTGTGTAGGAGACCTGAAAGTGGCACATGGGCAGAGTGTGGCGATGGAGACAGCAGCAATGGGAGGCCGTACAGGGACCCATGAGAGAGACTCTGGGCTGGCAGCAGCATGAGGAGGCGGTATATATAGGGGCCTATGGCAGATTAGGGGCCTGGCAGCAGCTATGGGAGGCCCGTAATCTGCCAGCACCCTATGTCAAAAAATTTAACACACACCAGCAGTGTGAGGAGACCTGAAAGTGGCACATGGCAGCAGAGTGTGGCGATGGAGGACAGCAGCAATGGGAGGCCGTACAGGGACCCATGAGAGACAGACTCTGGACCTGGCAGCAGCAAGACATCTGAGGAGGCGGTATATAGGGGCCTATGGCAGATTAGGGCCTGGCCTGGCAGCAGCTATGGGAGGCCCGTAATCTGCCAGCACCCTATATGTCAAAAAAATTCTAACACACCCAGCAGTGTGAGGAGGAGACCTGAAAGTGGCACATGGCAGAGTGTGGCGATGGAGACAGCAGCAATGGGAGGCCGTACAGGGACCCATGACAGACTCTGGACCTGGCAGCAGCAGCATGAGGAGGCGGTATATAGGGGCCTATGGCAGATTAGGGGCCTGGCAGCAGCTATGGGAGGCCGTAATCTGCCAGCACCCCTATGTCAAAAAATTCTAACACACCAGCAGTGTGTGAGGAGACCTGAAAGTGGCACATGGCAGAGTGTGGCGATGGGAGAGCAGCAATGGGAATGGGAGGGCCGTACAGGGACCCATGAGACTCTGGACCTGGCAGCAGCAGCATGAGGAGGCGGTATATAGGGGCCTATGGCAGATTAGGGGCCTGGCAGCAGCTATGGGAGGCCCGTAATCTGCCAGCACCCTATGTCAAAAAAATTCTACACACCAGCAGTGTGTGAGGAGACCTGAAAGTGGCACATGGCAGAGTGTGGCGATGGAGACAGCAGCAATGGGAGGCCGTACAGGGACCCATGAGAGACTCTGGACCTGGCAGCAGCATGAGGAGGCGGTATATAGGGGCCTATGGCAGATTAGGGGCCTGGCAGCAGCTATGGGAGGCCCATAATCTGCCAGCACCCTATGTCAAAAAAATTCAACACACCAGCAGTGTGTGAGGAGACCTGAAAGTGGCACATGGCAGAGTGTGGCGATGGAGACAGCAGCAATGGGAGGCCGTACAGGGACCCATGAGAGACTCTGGACCTGGCAGCAGCATGAGGAAGCGGTATATAGGGGGCCTATGGCAGATTAGGGGCCTGGCAGCAGCTATGGGAGGCCCGTAATCTGCCAGCACCCTATGTCAAAAAATTCTTACACACACCAGCAGTGTGAGGAGACCTGAAAGTGGCACATGGCAGAGTGTGGCGATGATGGAGACAGCAGCAATGGGAGGCCGTACAGGGACCCATGAGAGACTCTGGACCTGGCAGCAGCATGAGGAGGCGGCGGTATATAGGGGCCTATGGGCAGATTAGGGGCCTGGCAGCAGCTATGGGAGGCCCGTAAATCTGCCAGCACCCTATGTCAAAAAATTCTACACACCCAGCAGTGTGTGAGGAGACCTGAAAGTGGCACATGGCAGAGAGTGTGGCGATGGAGACAGCAGCAATGGGAGGCCGTACAGGGACCCATGACAGACTCTGGACCTGGCAGCAGCATGAGGAGGAGGTATTAGGCGGTATTATATAGGGCCCATGGCAGATTAGGGGCCTGGCAGCAGCTATGGGAGGCCCGTAATCTGCCAGCACCCTATGTCAAAAAATTTACACACACCAGCAGTGTGTGAGGAGACCTGAAAGTGGCACATGGCAGAGTGTGGCGATGGAGACAGCAGCAATGGGAGGCCGTACAGGGACCCATGAGAGACTCTGGACCTGGGCAGCAGCATGAGGAGGCGGTATATAGGGGCCCTATGGCAGATTAGGGGCCTGGCAGCAGCTATGGGAGGCCCGTAATCTGCCAGCACCTATGTCAAAAAATTCTACACACCAGCAGTGTGTGAGGAGACCTGAAAGTGGCACATGGCAGAGTGTGGCGATGGAGACAGCAGCAATGGGAGGCCGTACAGGGACCCATGAGAGACTTGGACCTGGCAGCAGCATGAGGAGGCGGTATATAGGGGCCTATGGCAGATTAGGGGCCTGGCAGCAGCTATGGGAGGCCCGTAATAATCTGCCAGCACCCTATGTCAAAAAAATTGAACACACACAGCAGTGTGTGAGGAGACCTGAAAGTGGCACATGGCAGAGTGTGGCGATGGAGACAGCAGCAATGGGAGGCCGTACAGGGACCCATGAGAGACTCTGGACCTGGCAGCAGCATGAGGAGGCGGTGGGTATATAGGGGCCTATGGCAGATTAGGGGGCTGGCAGCAGCTATGGGAGGCCCGTAATCTGCCAGCACCCTATGTCAAAAAATTCTACACACCAGCAGTGTGTGAGGAGACCTGAAAGTGGCACATGGCAGAGTGTGGCGATGGAGACAGCAGCAATGGGAGGCCGTACAGGGACCCATGAGAGACTCTGGACCTGGCAGCAGCATGAGGAGGCGGTATATAGGGGCCTATGGCAGATTAGGGGCCTGGCAGCAGCTATGGAGGAGGCCCGTAATCTGCCAGCACCCTATGTCAAAAAATTCTAACACACCAGCAGTGTGTGAGGAGACCTGAAAAGTGGCACATGGCAGAGTGTGGCGATGGAGACAGCAGCAATGGGAGGTCTCCCATTGTCCCAACATGGCCCAAATAGTCCCAACATGGGCCCCCTGGCCACGCTTGACTTTCTGGCCACTATAGTCGTACATTACGGCTACGTTTACTTCCTTCGGGCGGCTTGACGGAAAAATTGCCACACCGGGCGAGTAGGAAACTTTGCCCCCCGATACTCCTCACTGGCTGGACTGCTGCTTCCTCCTGTGCACACCGGCACCACTGTCTCCTGGGCAACCCACCGACTGTTTCGCTCACTGCCAAGCTGCCACCCTCTTATCCTGATATGTTTGCGGAAGAAAGTTGGTGCCTGATGACGACGGAGTGAGGCTGCACAAGTGCGATTAACGCTCCTCATCATCAAGTAGGGTCTCCGCCCATCACTAACTAGCCCACCCTCGGCTGCGTCTGGGGGAGGTAGACTGACCTGTCTCTAGACCGGCTTACGGTGCCACTCTCCTCGCCACTACTTCCGCTCGACCTAGCTGCTGAGAAAAGGCGGATGTCTCCCCCCGTTCCTGACCGCCCTCTGTTAGCTCTTCCTCACTGTACAGTGGGGCTGAGCCCACATGCGATGCGATTACTTCGCTTGGTGAGGGAACACCAAAGGACAGGGGCAGGTAGAGGACACGTGATTTCACAGTGGGCTAGGGTCCCGGGGGCCATGCCCAACTAACGGTTGTGTCTGACGTACCCACCGACCGTTGGCTGTAGGTGTCAGAGGTGACCTGGGAAGACGGAAGACGACCGAGCCAACCAATCGTTACGGACGGCAGGGTTGTCGGTGGAGACACGACCGCTGGGATGACACCGGGAAGCACTGGCCTTGGGCTGAAGACTAGTGCTTGCCGCCTCGACCCCTTCCTCTGCTGCCAATGTGGCGTTCTGCTCGCTCCTAAAACATTGCCTCCTCTGCCACTCCTCTGCATGTTGTCTGACTATATACTCTTGATTAATTACGAGTGTGTGTCCATGAGTAAATACAAATTCTGAATTGAAGGAGGCAGATTGGGGTCCGGCGATGTAAGATTATTGGGGGTTCCTAGCGTATGGGACGGTGTGAGGGGGGTGAAGACATACTTGTGTTTCAGATTAGGAATTTCGTGTGCTCCGTTTATTGTGTTCAGCACAATGGGCTAGATCCGGCACTGGTGTTTTTTGTGGTTTGGGGGAGTTGATGGGTTTGTTTTTGGGTAGGTTTACTTGTTTTTGGAAGGTTTGCGTCTGGGGGAGTAACAATAAGTGTCTGAGTGGCTGTAAGAACATTCTGTTTCTGTCCTGAGGTAAACACACATTGGGGTTCTTTGGCAGGGTGGGATATCAATGGGTGGGTCTGTGGCCAGTCTCGTAAATAGATTGTTGTTGTCATTCTGGTAGCATGGGCTAAGTATAAGTCTTCTGACTCTGCGTCGGTGGTGATGGGGGACCCAAATTATGATGTGCGAGTCGTGTGTGGGGGGTGTACTTGGGGTTAACAGTTGCTACTTGGAGTGGTCGCAGTAACGGATTTGTCTTTGGCACTTGAGTAAGAATTGGCTTCTGCCACTAAGCTAGAGAGTTGTCTGGACGGCCTGGAGTGGGGACAATGGGTCTTGGGACCAAGGGGAGCAATTTGTGTGGATGAGTACATGAAGCTCTGGCCTGGTACCCCTTTCTTGGTCTGGAGTGGGGTAGACCTTTTCTGTCGGATGGGGTGTCCCTATGGTGAGGGGAGGGGAGGTCTTCTGGCAGAGTAGGTGGTTCTGGTATGTGCGGATTGGATGACATATTCTTGGTGAGGACAATGGGGTGAAATGGTTATACATTTGGAGTCCTCTGGTGGGAACATATCATCTTGGTTTTGATAATTACTATTCTGGGGGGGGGCGGTGTCCAGAGAGCAGGGGATTGCTTTGTGCCCATAAAGTGGGTGGGTTGGGGGGTGGGGGGATAAATATTCTCAAGATCCACCAGGGGGCGGGGGGGCTTCGGTCTGTGATGGGAAGGAGGAAGGGGGGCGATCTCGGGCACTTATTGGGGGTGGCCGGTGGCTGTCTGTATTCGGTTGATGGGAGCTAATTTGTAGGCCATTCTGGAATGGGGGTTTCTTAATTTTTCTTGGAGGCGGCTCGCATTGGGTTTCATATTTTGGCTATGACGGAAAACTTGGACTCGTGTGTTAGGGAAATAGTAACATGGCTAGGGATTAAGGGGTGGAGGTGGGGAATCGGGGGCACGGTTCTGTGGTTTTCTTGGGTATAAACAATTTTACTGGCAACACTTCCAAGGTTCTGGTTCACCGTTAGAAAAATACGAATTATGTGGGCCCTGTTATAAGGGGCACTGGCCCTTTAGTGAGACTGAGGTTCTGCTGGCGATCATTCTCTATTTGTTTTCACTCCTGGCGTAGAGCATATGATCTGCTTGTGTGTCGGGGTAACAATTTTAGGGGTCTACTTGGCCTGGTGGCTGGATATGGCATCGTAGGAAGTAGGGTAGGTTCCAGTTGGGAGGGAGGTACAAGGATGGGCATTCATGATATGAAGGGGTCCATTGGGGGGGAACTTGGCATGTGGACCTGCTGTGAGTGGTGCGGTCAGGGCACTAGCGGTAGGGTTAGGTGTGTCGTAAGGAGGACGGGACGGGGGTGGCGGATCTGTCATCGTTTCTCGTGTACACAGAGGTTTCTAGGTCTGTAGCGTAGGTGAACAGATCCCAGCTGGTGATGGCATCGCTATTCGGGGGATAGTGGAACGGCTGGGGATTTCGTTGCTGGGCACAGCAGTATGAGTGGGTGGACCCTAAGTAACATGTCTGGGCTATAGCTGGGGCAGCTTGCGCTTCAGTTCGGGGAAGGGGGACGCAGGCCTAGTTCTGTCCGGGGCGATTTAACATATTCTCTGGGCGAATTGTAAACGGGATCTGTCCACTGAGGGGGGAAAAATGACTGTGGGGGAGGTGGCGGGTGAGTCAAACAATTCTGGTCTCTGTGGGTAGCTATTCGAAGTTCTGAGGGAAACTAAGTATACAGTCTAGCGGACGCTCACGGGTAACAATCTGTCTGTCCGGGGGGCTGAGTTACGGGGATGTTCTGTGGCACTCCATGAGGGGGCTGGGCATAGGGACTGTCTGTACCTGAGTATAACAATTCCTGTGGTCCGGGGGAGTGACCGCGCTGTTCTGAGTGGGATTGCGGGGTCGGACAATTCTGTGTTATGTGTTTGACGGAGGAGAGTATTGTTCTGTGGCTGTCCTGCGATTAAACGGTTCTCTGGCTACTCGAGTATTAGGTCTGTCTGTCCCTGGTGTAAAAATTTCTGGGCCCTAGAATGCAGTTTGCGCGAAAGAGTAAGTTTCTGTGGCCCTAAGTAACAGTTCTCTGGTCACTCTGTATAACGGATTGTCTGTCTCTGTGCCTGAGTGGTAAACAATCTGTGTCTAGTGCTCTTAGTGGACATATTCTGTGGCCCTAAGTACAACAGTTCTCGGTCTCAGTAACCTCTCTGGAGGTAACGTGTGTTCACTACAATGCTGGCAGTACTGTGCGAGTAGACGCAGTGCGTAGTGGCCCTAAGGTTTACTCCTTCTGTGGCCGCTGAGTAAAAATTTCTGTGTCTGGCCCTGAGTAACTAGGTTCTGGTAGGCCCGGGCCAAGTTTTTGCTGATTGGCACCTAAGTACCAATTCTTGCATGGCACTTCACGTACATAGATTCTGTCTGTCCTGTGATAAGGGTAAACAATTTCTCTGGCACTCAAGAATAGACGTTTCTGTCTGTCCTAAGTCACTATGAGTCTGGCACTATGTAATCAATTACTGTCTGTTCCTGAGTAACAATTATCTGGCGCACTCCAGTGTTCTGTACTGGCCCTGGAGTAACATTTCTGTGGCACTCAGTAAAGCATTCGTCTGTCGCCGTGAGTAACATTTTGATCAGGCAATCTATTACGTACCTTCAAACAATTCTGTCCAATGTCCCCTGAGTAACAGAGTTCTCTGGACACTAGGTTTTTGTAACAATTATCTGTCTGTTCTCTGAGTAGAAATTCTGTGGCCCTAACCGGTGAAGGTTTCTGTGGACCATGAGTAAACAATTCTCTCTGGCACTCAGTAACAATTATGGTCTGTCGCTGGTAAACAGTTCTCTGGCACTCGTAATATCAATACGGTCTGTTCCCGTGAGTTAGTGAATGTGGCCCTAATAA